AAGAACGAGCAAGAAACTAGGGATTGCTCTTTTCAAATAAACTTAAATGCTATGCAATGCAATTTGAATCATAATTGCGTGGAATCTGGACTCATATCGTATTTCCATACATCTTTATCTAACACATACTCTTTTATTTTGAAATATGACTTTTCTATTAAAATACTTTTGATGTTAGTTTTAAACTTAGGAAATGCAACTCTTAAAATAATATTCTCCGGAATCTTATCACAAAAACGTATACAGTTCCCCATAAAAGAATCGTTTACCTTAGTTAAACGAAATCGTGGTACCATGAGTTTCTAAGGTTAATATTATGGATATCTTCTTTCTTAATGAAATTATTGTACATTTTTAGGGGTATACAAAATATTTGAGTAAAAATGTACTGTGATGTCACAGTACATTTCATGATACCAGTCTCTTTACACTTATGTCTGAGAGTAACCCGAGAACGTAAACGGTACACAGAACGAATCGTTCTTCTCCCGCATTTGTATTTGTTATAGAAATCTGGAAGAAACAGGGTATTGCATGGTGTTCCAAAACACTGTACAACGTCGATCGATGGTGTCAATTCTACATCGATCGATTGTTGTGGTAACACCCTTAGGGGATACAGCGCCCATCTGCATACTGTACAGATTTTTTTTTTTTATTTTAACAAGGCTCAAGAAAAGCCAATGTACTCCACTATTCCTGATCGCATACCGCGAGCGCAACGCAGGCGCTGTTATACACACCCACTCGCCGCACGCCGTGCGCTGTACGCTGCTTTATGACAAGGAGTTCCGAATTACACATCAGGAAATGATCAAGGTCTAATGTTTTATCTAATTATAACGGATACCACTACATACGCCGAGTAGTAGTATGATGAAAGGAAAAATTCAAATATGGTAAAGCTATATAGTTATATTTTTTTATTACGGGTTTTTTTATAATATCAAGTGACAGGATGAACAAGTCGTGCGCCTGATGGTAAGCTACACGCCTGTCGATAACAGCACTGCCACTCTGAGCTTTGAATCGCAAAGATCTGAGGGGCACTGCCACTGCGACCGTCACCCTGAGACATAAGTTGACAAGTCCCATGTGCCTGTAATTTCAACAGCACCTTTCCCTTCAAAACCGGAACACGGTAATGCTGAAGTTACTGCTTGGCGGCAGAAATAGGTAAGGTGGCAGTTCTTCCCTGGACGAACTCTTTCTCAAGGAGCTCTACTGCTACTAAACAATAAAATAAAGAATGATACACAAAATATGCTTAATAGAAAAGAAATATCCTGCTTGACTATCTCAATTGACAATGTATGGATGCATGACACCCATTGCATGTTATATAGTTTTAGTTACGTTTTCAGTTATATAAACTATTTTCCTTTTTTCGTTTTACTTTTTATATGCAATATTATTTTTAAAGTATGTACCAAGCACCATATTACTAACATCATAAACATATTGTAACAAAAGTTGTTTTTTATAGTGATAATAATATAGTCCTACGAGCTTATTAGAATTTTAAAAATAACCATGTATACATATAAAATTACGTGCGTATTTCACCTCCACTTCACCTGATAGAAAGTGACGATGAGGTCGACAATGTAGCATGCTCGCCTAAATAATGCCTATTCACTCTCGTCTTGAAAAGGCCCAATCGAACCTTGATTTTGAAATTTACTTTCGTCATGTTGTTGACTCTGACTCTCCATCTTAGAGTATTGAAATGTATACCCATCGAGTATAATTATAACCAGAAATAGGACAAAATGTCATTTTAATTTGTTTGAAAACTTATGCCAAATCATTACGATGACAACTGCGCTCCGATTGGCCAGCCCGAATTTGAAATAATTGACGGGGTCGTCAATTGTTTCACTTCAAATCGACCAGTTTAACTTGAGCTTTGCTATAATGGACACAATTGAAAAATTACATATTTAATATTTAATTACCGATGAAATGTGATTCCGTTTGTTTTGTAATTAGATGTTTTGCTGTTTCACACCACCGAATGGAATAGCCCCCATTGTTAGAGATATTATCTTTATTACAATAAATACAGAATATTTTTTGAATATACGGAGACGTACACACAGGTCAGTTGTTGGCGCTGTACTATTTCAGCTTTCTAATTTGTGATTTCAGCGCAAACAATAGTTGACATTTAAAAGGCCCATTTACTGATGAGCTGTCGGGGATGGATATTTCGTCTGTATTTCTGGTTATATACTCGATGTGTATACCTTATTACAAATTGCAAAAGCAGAAAATTTGCATTCATAAAGTTAACGTTCTGTACCTTCCCGTCCGCCGGTTTGCACTGGTTCTAATACGTCACAAATTTCTAGGTAATGGCAACACTCTATGCGCTACAAGTAATGCTTCGCGTTCATTGATTAAATCGCCTTAGATTTCAAACTTATTGAATTGTATTAATTTGTCCAAATAATAAATAATAATGTTTTCTTTATTGTTGCGTCATGATACGGTTTTACGGTGTTTTCAATTTCATTAAAGCACGTCAGTATTCTGCTATCCAGTTGTACAATAATAGTAGATTGTACAACAATTGCATAAAACGTGTCATTTTACCCGGCGAGAGTGGATACTTAAGTCGAGAATAAAATGAGTTTTATGAACGAGTTGTACACTCTGCTTTTCACTTCGATTGCGAGGAAATCAAACAGCAATATTACAAATAAACGATTATTTAATTAAAATTCAATGTAAAATTACAACAATTACACATATTTAATGTGATGGTTTTTTTTTATTCTATGCACTAGAGCATAAAATCCTATTTTATGCAGCCTACACCCAGCATAAATACGAACTTTAAAAGCATGAGAAGTGAATTTTTTTTTTCTTATTTCTCTTGGCTTTTCGCGGTAAACGTTTTAGCCACTTGCAAAGTGTTTTGACTAAGTACTTGTTTTTAAAACGGGGAAACTTTTATAATATCATGGAATGTACATTTGGAAAAGGAATTAGAAACTTGGCAAAAAGTGCAAAAAGGTATCAAGCGAGGAATTATGAGATGTTAATAAACATAGTATAAATATAGAATATATATTATATTATTATTACAGCATCAGCAGTTAAATATTTATATATAAAGTGAATTTGTCATTTCTCGATTCCAGGGTATAAAAGACGCTAAATTAGGGCGCTACCTTCGATATGACGAGGAACTAGTGGTGCCCATAATAGAGAACACACCATTCGAGAAAGACCTGGCTTGTAGTATGGCAGAAGCGATACAGAAGTATCCAGGCACCAGCGCAGTACTTGTTAGACGACATGGCGTTTATGTCTGGGGCGATACGTGGCAACAAGCTAAGACGATGTAAGTACCTACTGCTTTTGAATTAAATCTAGTAGGTAGCCCCGAATGCATGTAACTTGCGATTTTAATGAGAAATAAGCATCGAGTATTAGGCCATCCATCCCTGGCAACTCATCGGTCAAATGGTACTGATGTCACTTTTGAATTTGAACTCTCGTTTGCGCTGAAATCACAAATTAGAAAGCTGAAATAGTACAACGCCAACAACTGACCTGTGTGTACGTCTCCGTATATTCCAAAAAAATTCTATATTTATTGTAATAAATATAATATCTCTAACATGACGTTTCGTCTCTGTTTCTGGTTATAAACTCGATGGAAATAAGTAATACTTATTTATGTTCCATATTGCACTTTTGATAATTATTATTTTTTTACCCTATAACGTGGCGCCCCGCCGCGCGCTGTCGGCGCTGGCGCTGCTGTGTAACTTCTGTAAAAAAACCACACTGTCCATACAAGCAAAATACATCGTGTCTCACGGCTATGCGACACAAAGGGAAAGTTCTTTAAATATTGTACATTATTTTTAATAGTAAGCATGGACCTATATAACTGAAGAGGACTGCTAATCTCTTTATAAGACAGCGTAGTCGGGTATTTAATACCTTGGTACACCAGATGTCGCGACGAGTACCAAATAACTATTTTTGTAGCTAATTTGTTTTACAATGACAAGCTGCAATTTATCAAATCTACTCTAATTGCTAGTAATAAACAAACCAACTAGATGGCGCTTATTGTACAAATTATTATGGATAGTGCCGGCTATTCTTTTATTTTGTTTAAGATTAGCTCCTTCTAACTGTATTAGGAAACATTAATTTATAAATTAGTTTATTACGCACCATGCCGTCTGTTGACACGCATATTTCGACCCCTCCTACGTAAAGAAAGTATCGCATGTCGAAATTTCCAAGTTTACAGAGGAGCGTTTTAAAATTCTGAATTCACTAAAATGAGCATAAACATGACTTTAGCATTTCTCAGTGTTATTCGGCAGCTCGTTACTCACATAGAGTATTAGAAAATCCTAGATATCGGTTAGATGATCTATTACATGAGTGAATTCAGAACTTTAAAACGCGCCCCTGTAAACTTGGCAATTTGGACATACGATATTTTACGTAAGAGGGGTCGATTTGTCACAGTTCAAAAAATAATTTTAGCTCATCAATATTTGAATAATAATATTACAAGGAAAAAACCAACTTCTTGTATTTCATATTAAAGAGGTATCAATTTATATCCACGGCTATTTACATAATATAAACAACTTCCAGGCTATCGATCAGCGTCATCTAAAAACAAGACGGCATTTTGACCTTTTTCAGAGTTACGATTTGTAGTATGCAGATTACCAGTCCTCTTGGGTTGTTGATCCATGATAGTAAGTAATATTGCATTCAAAGGTTTTAAAAAAATTACTTGTCTCACCTGGGAAATCAAACCGACCAATGCATTGACTTACAATTATATGGACGTCGGGTCCGCGCTAAAAAGTGTCCGCACTTGTAAGGCGCTAAAATCGTATACAGAGCGCGACACTCCGCTTTAGTCTTCATTTGTTCTACTGACAGCGCGATACTGCGATGACATTACAATTTAAATTTCGAATAGGTTGACTTGGGACATTTTTTTCGTGGTTTTTGTATTAGACCCGTCGTTCATTTATTTGTAAGTCAATGGACCAATGTGAAAAATTGTATCCTGTATTTTTATGATGCCGATGGTAAGGATCAATTATAAGAATTAATTCCTTTTAAGTAACACAGCATTTTAAATTAAAGAAACACAATGAAAATTTACATTTAAATTTAGAACAATTAATTATAATGCGTTTTAATGCGTCGATATTCGTTCTTCAAGATCTCATGCGATTATTACACCGCTGCGGCGATGTCATGTCAGACCTCATTATCCATCAAAGCGGAGAAAAAATCGTTTAGTCAAAATAACGTGGTACCTAGTAAAGATGTGAAGCAACTATCACTACAGGATACTAACCTAATGCAATAGCGTAGACCAACATTTACGAATCTTCAATATAATCGTAATTGTTATTACATTACTAAATATTAATTTTTTATATTTGTATTGAATTGATATTCAATTATGTTTTGTCATCAATCAAACACTTAGAAAAAATTTCCTTCGATCCGGCCGGATTCGGTTTGCTAGAAAACGCCGGTTCGAATCCGGCCGGATCTTTGTATTAATTTTTTTTTTATTTATTTATTTCTAACCAGGTTACGTAGACCGATAAATACATACCTTATAGACTAACCTACATAATAATATAAGAAAACATAATTAAACAATTATTAATTATTTACACGTATGGACTGCAATGTGTGACGCAACGCGGGTGTCCGGTAACCGACCTTGGAAACGTCTGTACGTGACACCCTTCAGCCAAAACTCCTCTTTCATGAAGGTCATATGAAAGGTCACTTGCGATTTATAGGCGATTGCATCGACACACACGCGCATATGCATTGATGCAATCGCTTATAAATTACAAATGTAGCGATGCAATCGAGCGCTTAAAATAGCGCGTCTGTGTAAAGTTGGATAATTAGCGACTGCATCGCGTTTGCATCGCTACTGCATCGCGTTTGCATCACTGCTAAAAGTCGTCGTCTGTAACCGCTCCTAAGCCAGCCGTTGGCGGTGGCGGCGCAGCGCATATGTCCAGTACTTACTATTGCTTGTTGGGACCATTCTCTTCAACGGTCAGTGTTTGTGATAGCGTATTATTACATCAATTGTCACGTCGTCACTACAAATAACTACATCTATGAAATTCTTCTTTTCAAACTCCATGTGATGTATTAGATTGTAATACCTATACTTATATCTATTTATATATATATATAAATTTAGTGAATGGGCGACTGTGGGAATTCACAAAAGTAGACAAAGGCTGTATGATCTTTACGATGAAAGAACTTATAACACTAGTAACAGTTTTAATGATTTTGTTAGGAAATATTCGAAAATGTTTAAACGTGTTTGTGTGGCAGCCAAAGCAATGTTTATTAATAATAAAATAAAAAGCAGCGCGAATGTAGTAAAAACGACTTGGAATATTATAAATAGCGAAACTGGAAGGGTCAAACCTCGTAACTTAGATTTTCAACTAAGATTTAATGACAAAATTGTAAACACAGACGCAGAAGTTGCTAAAATATTTGAAAATTTTTTTACCAACATTCCAATTTTGACTACTAATTCGTTAAATTCATCTCCCACGGCCGCTGAATCCTTACTAAAAGAAAATAATGCAGTTAGTAGCACTAATTTAAGGTTCCGTCATGTATTTTCAAACGATATTGTTAAAGCCTTTAAGTCTATAAATATAAAAAATACTGCTGATCTTGATGGTCTTTCAGTCAGAGTAATTAGTTCTATAGTTGATTGTATTGCGCCTTACTTAGCCTGTGTCTTTAATAAATGTGTTGATGATGGTGTCTTTCCTGACCTCATGAAGCAAAGTAAAGTTATTCCACTTTTCAAATCTGGTAGTATTTCTGACCCCACCAATTTCAGACCTATATCAATACTACCAACTCTCAGTAAAATATTTGAAAAAATTATTCTAAATCAGATGTGTGCACATTTTTATAGTAATAATTTAATGTCTCCTAAACAATTTGGTTTCACTCGGGGTCGCTCTACAACCGACGCTGGTGTAGAGTTGATTAATCATATATTTGATGCATGGGAAGTCTCACATGATGCTATTGGTGTATTCTGTGACCTTTCCAAGGCTTTTGATTGTGTGCACCATGATACACTGGTCAGGAAACTTCGCCATTATGGTGTGGCGGGACGTGATCTCGACCTTCTTAAATCGTATTTGCGTGGTAGGGTACAGAGGGTCGATGTTAACGGTACGAGATCGTCAGGGTCTGTAATTAGCATGGGTGTCCCTCAAGGTTCAATTCTAGGCCCATTTTTGTTTTTAGTTTATATTAATGATTTACCTAGCCTTATGGAGGGTATAAATCATGAGATAGTATTGTTTGCTGATGATACTTCCTTATTATTTAAAGTTAAAAGGCACCAATGTTCCTATGACGATGTGAACAATGCTATATCTAAAGTAGTTGATTGGTTTGCTGTTAATAACCTACTTCTTAATGAGAAAAAAACAAATTGTGTGAAATTTACATTACCCAATGTTAGAGAGACGGTTACAAACATTGTAGTTAGAAACGAAAAATTGAATCTTGTGGATACAGTTGTATTTCTAGGTATAACGTTAGATGCTAAATTGCAATGGGGTCCCCATATAAGTAAGTTGTCAAAACGGCTCAGCTCTGCAGTGTACGCGATTAAAAAAATAAGGAAACTTTCAGACGTCGAAACCGCTAGATTGGTTTACTTCAGCTACTTTCACAGTCTAATGACATACGGCATTTTGCTTTGGGGTAATGCCGCCGATATCAATAGAATCTTTGTCCTGCAGAAACGTGCAGTTAGGGCAATTTACAATCTGGGCCCCAAAGTATCTTTGAGAGATAAGTTTAAGGAAATTAACATTCTTACACTAGCCTCACAGTACATTTATGAAAATGTAATTTATGTTAAAAGGAATAGTAATTTCTTTATGAAAAATAGTGACAGACATAACATTAATACGAGGAATAAAAATAAACTAGCTTTTCTTGATAGTCGTCTTCACAAAGTCAAACAATCATTTAAGGGGCAATGTATACGCTTCTATAACAAGATTCCGGTTGATATACAAAATTTGCCTTTCACGAGGTTTAAAACTATAGTGAAACAAAAACTTTATACTAAAGGTTATTATACAACTTCTGCGTACTTGGATGACAAAAATCCGTGGTAGTAACCCGTTTAGCTCATGGAGGTAGTCTCAATCTGATGTTTCAAATAAAAAAATATTGTATATAATAATGTTATTTACAAAGAGCAACCCCTAGAGTTTCTTGCTCATTCTTCTCAGGGGAATCTGCCTTACGAATGAGCGGTAGAGTTTAACCATTGTGACGATTTCAAGTGTAATAATGCTTACCTATGAAATAAAGATTATTTTGATTTTGATTTTTGATTTTTTGATTATATCGTAAATTGTTGCAGGACGGAATGCTATGATTACTTATTCGAAATGGCCGTGGAGATGAAGAAACTGGGGCTCGATCCAACGTTCAACCCTGAGAATGGTGCTAACGGAAAATCCTAATCAATTGTCTCAACTTTTAAATTAATACCAACCAACATATCACTTAGGTAGGGTAGGGTGGTCGACTAGTGAACTAAGTGTACACTATGAATCGCGCCAATAACTCAAAAATGCGATATTGAAATTTGGTGCAAATCGCACCAGGTGAGCTTCTACTATAAGCACCACACTTTACCTAGTCTACAACTGCAGCTTGGATGCCCAAGGGCGATGGTGCAGAATGAACCACTTTTAAGATGTACACAATGAACCTATGACAACTTAATGATAAATTAAACATGAAAATGTTGACTGCTAGATCTTTAAAAAAATCACACAGTAAGTGCACGACTGAGTTACAAAACTCCTATTGTGAATTTGTGAGACTTAAGCTGTTTTTCTTCGTTATATTTCATTATTATATTTTTAAAAGCTGATGTTCTATTTCAATTATGTTTAATATTTCAGTCGGATGCCCAAAAACTTATTGTTTTCAATAATTTAAGTAAAAACTACGTTGTATTTCACATTTTTTATAAAAATAAAATATTTTGCTGATGATTGTATTAATCATGTACATTTTGGCGTATTTGGTTCATTACGTACCAGCCCCCGGTTCAAAGAGTACCATGGAGTGCGCACAGTGAACCATTTCTCACTTTGTAAAAAAAACATGTTTTTGAAGGACTGACTGTATTTGGACAAAAATGAAGTACTACTTTATTATACCCAGTATAATTACCTATAATTTTAAGCAAAATCTGTATAATTTAGGTTCTTAGATCCAGATTCACAGCTCTTAAAATTTAGATGATTCATTATCAACCACCCTACCGTACATACTTTAAGAATTCATTAAAAAAAGAACACACTGCAACGTTTCTCCGCTAGAGGCGCCACTAATAACTTAAACACATTTTACAAATGCTTTTATGACAGAACAGTCCAAAGATTTACCAGATTTAGTCTACAGATTAATTGTAGCAAATTATGTCTAATGTTGTAAAAAAAAAAGTGATTAACGTATCCACTTCGTAACACGTCAAACAAACTCAGTTGCTATTGCTACTGAAAACGCTGAACTGAACAGAAAAAATATTTCTAAGTAAAAGGCAAAAATACGAAATAAGTAACAAATTGTAAAAAATTTGCGGCTTTAGAAACTAACAATTGCCTTTGTACTATAACGAGGCAATTTGATAAATTTGCGGCAGAACAGGCTGTTCAACATTCAAATAAACAAAATGGCCGGCCTATACTATCTATATACTACCTATACTTCGGACCACTACAAGAAGTTCGAATTATTAGAGAAAGATGAAGTGGTAAAACGTTATAAAGGGCGGTCGGAAACTATTAGAGATGGAGTGGTAGAATGTCATAGTGGGCATTGAAAGAGTTTTTGAACAGAGAGAGAAAAGGACAGGTGGAAGTTATGCTATGTTGTAGGTCGACAATTTTTGTCAACAAATATTGCAATAACGGATTTAATACTAAATTATCATGATTCGTGAAGAATCCGTTGGAGTTCTTAATCATTATTTGGATTATTATTTAATATGGCCCCCGTACAAGTATTATTTCATTCCTCAGTAGGAAATTGCTTCAAAGTACGCACACCTCTGGCCGAACCCGACCTTGCACTGCAGGGTACAGGCCCAGTCTGCCCCCACTTAGACCTGTTTACTGTTTCTTTATCATTGCAGTTTGTGGCGCCTCTAACGCCAAAACTTGGAACTATAATTTTGTTTGTCGAATGTCATATATATTCTGTGATGGTGGGCTAATAATTTTGTGCCATATTTTTAGGATATAATTACTTGTTGAATAATATGTTTATTTTTTTACTTATATTTTTAATTATTTATTAATACATAAAACTGGGTAATCAAATTCCACGTATGCTTTCATACGTACTACATACGTAAAATAGAAAATTTATACAACTGTTAAAATTATGTAAGAAATATTGAAATAAAAATCAATGTGGGAATATAATTATTTTTATTACTATGTCAGCGTTGGAAAAAAATGTGAATGGATTAAATTTACTCACTATACTCTCTGGTACGTTTAGTGTAAGTATTTACTAAGTACTACAACTTTAATGTAATTTTAATTTAATAATAATAATAACGCACACTCAACATAGCCCCGCACTAGGGAAACCCTGTGTCGCGGGGCCACGGACGCAGTTAAAATTAAAGTTGTTCTCTACAAAGTAATAGCCAATTTTCTACAGTATTTGTAGAACTATTTTCTAACAATGCTTTGCCAGATATGAAGACAGAGAGATGAGGATATCCTCACCGTTACCGGAAAGTTCCTATTCTGAAAATTCTCATAATCTTTGGTTGGAGATCATCATTATCAACTCATTTATACGTCCCACTGCTGAGCACGGGTCTTTTCGGGTTTAGGCCATGTTTAAAACATATTTGATTGAATGTTTAAAATTTAAAGTATATATTTGTTAAATACAAAAATAACCTTATTTTAAAATTTTTATCAAATAAAATATGTCTTTTGTAAAGCTATCCTGTGGTAAAAACGAGATAAATAAATTTAAAAAATATATTATGCAAGGACATTTTAGGACTAACCAAAAAAATTATTCCCTTACACTTTACCTTCTCTCGATCTGTGAACGCATTTGTTAAATGCATTTCTAAGTTTTTGAAAGATGGCAGCACTGTAAGGGCGCATATAATGGACACGAATTTCACCGCGCTCACGTCGCGCGGAGACCGCGTGCATCTAACTGTCATGTCAAAGTACGCTATTTATTTATCGCCAGAAGAACAGAAGGTATTGGATTCATCCAAGGAATCAGGTACACACATTCGAAAAATTATACGAAAATCTGCGAAATGATGAAAAAGCTTGCCTTTGTTCCACCAAAGTATCAATAAATCGTTGTCCACAGAAGATTCGCCGGTCTTTTTGTATTATTACGCTATTAGCGTTATTTCTCGAACAAAACTTTCTGCCACTTTTGGGGTAGTACTACAAGCAAACAGGTGCACTCAAATGCTATATTGAATTGTGTCACTATGGTCTGCCACAAACAAAAATCGACAACACTAGCTTATTTTTACAAATACAACACACATTCTTGTCATGTCCGTACACAGAATAGGCCTATAAAAATAAATCGATTCTCATGAATAACGCACACACGCAACATAGCCCCGCACGGGCAACCACAAATTACACCCAAACTCACGAGAGAAATAAATGTAGGCCGTACAAGTATTTCTCCCGGCCATGGAATCGAACCTGGGATCTCTGTGTGGCAGCCCGGCATGATACCCGTTCCGTCACTGAGGCAGCAATATACTAGAGACGGAAAGTTTTCGACGTGACGGTGCGGATATGTATTACGTACTGGGTTAATCACGTATATGAAAATTGCAATTCCACCCTTGGCTAGACTGGATGTAGAGGGTTTATTTTTGCGATTTTGTGTGTAGTGTAACAGTGGTATTGTTTTACATATATTTACCAGAGCAGATTGTCATTGACTTACTAAAACGGATGACAATAAATACGATCCAAAAACCGCGAAAAAATGTCTGGAGTTTTTTTGTTGTGTTTTTCTGTTGTCAGTGTTGGAGCCAATGACAAGCATGGCCGAAGTTAACCTATACAAACGTATGACATGTATAGAAATATAAAAAAACTATAACATTAAATTTAAATTGTAAAGACATTGCAGTATTGCTTAATTTTGTTTGCCACAATTTGAAGGCCCAAAAGTTATCCATATTCAGCTTCTACTGGAAATAACCTAAAAATGCACCATATTTAGCTTCTCGTGAAAACTACTCGAACACAAGAGTATTAATATAAATATTAGTATAAAAATTAATTGTAGATTATTTTTATAGAAAAACACGTAAAAAAACGGTAAGTTTTACTTTTTATTAGTTATTTCAGACCAAAAACAACAAATTATGCGAGTTTCATTGAAATCAAAATTCTAAAATCCAAAAACATTGTTGGGGTAAGAGGGTTTACTACTTACGGGGTAAGAGAAACATATGTTCCTTTTCCCCTGTGTCAGGGGTGACAAACTTTTTGATGAATTGTCATAATGGAATATTGTCATATTCGAACTAACACAACTTTATATCCATATATATTATTTTATACCTATGCATATATACTTCTAAGAAATTAAGTTAAATTTGTTCAAATAACGTTTTTGATTGTAATCGAAAATTGGTAAAATTGAAGTGACTAAGTTCGTCTAACATGGTGTTAATTCCTAACGAAAGTTACAATAATTACACCACTACAATTTTATGTGTAAACAATGACACATCTTTAGCGTAGTTTTTAAAGCCAGCAGTAAAATTCTGGTAGCACATTTTTTTCCATCACGAATTTTTAGAAAATTTAATATTTATTCGAAAACTAAAAACAATTTGCATAAGCTCTAAAATAAGTCATTATTTATGTTTTATATTACGTCAGTAATCTAAAAACAAACACAAAAGCGGCTCATTGCACGTTACTACTACGACTACTTCTATACCACAATTGATTTAGTGAAACGGTTTTCAAAGTAGAGTCGTTATGCTGACTAGAGAAGAATAAATTTTGCTAGAAGTATAATTTTATTTTTGGACCTAACATTGTTTTTCTGTTATGACGATGTTTAAAAAGTACTTAAGTTACTCAGTGTGTTGATTTGCAAACGAGTGGTTAAAAATGTGCCTTTATTATGTTTTGTACTAAAAAAATTATAACAGGTTCACTTTTTTTTAATTTGTCACCTCTGACTTTAACTTGTATGTTCCTCTTGCCCCAAAACTAATATTTCACTTTTTTTATAACTATACGTTATTTCAATGGTTTTAAGATCAAAATCGATTGAAATAATTTTACTTAGTACTTAACTACGGATATATTTAAATATACATATATTATATTTATATAATATACGATGATAGTTCCTCTTACCCCATTTTTTTGGGAAAGAGAAACTTTAGCCCAATCTGAACGTTTTTGTCAGATACATCGTAAGTATTAATTTTAGCGTAACGATTGTTAAAACATGGAAAGCTGTTAAACCAGGGCAAGATAAAAGGATTTCGAAATTCGCTTAAGACATTATTTATTCCTCCTAGAGCTCGTAACATTTGTCTCGAAATAAACTATGTTCCTCTTACCCCACCTGACCTTACTAAACATTATATTTCGAGTAACTTTAACACAACTCATATCTCGGACAGCCGTTTCAATTTCATGTCAATTTGTATGTTGGTATTGCTTGAAGAAAAATGTATATGTATTATTGTTTATTGCCGTCTCTAGTATATTGCTGCCTCAGTGACGGAACGGGTATCATGCCGGGCTGCCACGCAGAGGTCCCAGGTTCGATTCCATGGCCGGGAGAAATATTTGTATGGCCTGCATTTATTTCTCTCGTGAGTTTGGGTGTAATTTGTAGTTGTGTATGTGTGTATCCATGACACCTGCGATACAGGGTTTCCCTGGTGCGGGGCTATGAGAGTGTGCGTTATATATTTTAAATACTCTACATAGGATGTCATACGCGCTGTGAGTTTATAAGAGTCTGTAACACTTCAGTAATTTTTAGTTCACTAATTCTGAACGTAAGGAACTGCGCTTAATTCCGGACATACCGGCTCTACGGTATACCGGAGAGGTCTGCCTGGACCGGAACGTGTATTGGAACCATAGATATAGAAAAATTGGAACAGACAGTTTAGTGTACCAGCGCAGGCGACAGGCGCAAGATCGAAAATTAATTCTTTTGAGTGCTACCGTACGGTGAACCTGTGCATGTGTGCGTGTACTACGGTCGCCTGCGCAGGTTACGCCATTTAATTTCTAGTTACGGTACGTCGTTCGCATCGTACTCCAGTGCGTAATAAAAAATGACAACATCCATACAAAGATAATAAGAAAATACTTGAGGAATTTATAGAAATATATCGAATTCATCCATGTCTTTGACATATAGGAAATAAAGAATACCACCGAGATAAAATAGAAGCTGCTTATAAGATGCTTGTAGAAAAATTAAAAGGAATACAACCCAACGCCACTAAATCGGTAGTTGTGTAGTAGTAGCGCCACACCGAAGTTAACTGAAGATCTCCGGCATACCGGACAGTCCCACATACGCTACCACAAGCGGTCTACCTGCGCAGGTAGACCTCTCCGGTATACCGTAGAGTGTATGGCCGACATTATAAATATTGTTGTGCGGCTGCAGCGCCACTACACTGTTTTCATAAGCGTCTAATTTCAAGGCACCCTTATGCGCTGCGCTGAAGGTGCAGTTTTAGTTGACGCAACTGTCAACAAGTGTCCGTTAATTACCAGTTGCAGCAACAAAAAAGCCTAACGGATGCCGCGATTTAAAAGAAACTTTCGAAATCCAGGTCATTAGCAAGAGCAAGACTGACGCTGCGTGAGACGGGAAGGAGTGTAGTCGCTCTCGCTCGACACGTTGCAGTTGCCGGTTGGAGAAATTGGCAACTTGAGGTGGCAATTAACAATGTACTTAATCGCAGTTTCATGGAATTGTGTTGAAATGTCATACACAGATAGTTGCCGAAACTCGAGGATCAAAATTGCTCCATCTGCGCAGCGCCTCAGAAATTCCTGCTTTCTAAATACAAGCGGCCAGAATACTTTCTGACAATTGACATAAATGAAATTGAGATGACTTGGGGTTCACAATTTTTTTGTTTATCTTTAAATTAGCTGATATACTCTTTTTTAAGAGCTCTTTAATTTCTTCTAATTCCGCTTTAGACAACAAATTTGTGCTTGAAAAATCGTGGTCGAATGACGGACAGTCTCTTTTTGCCATATTATACATAGCTTTCAAATCTAGTGAAGGTGCATTCTTCTTAGTGCGTATTTCTCCTTGCTTTTTCAACAATTTTTTAAGATCTTCTAAGTAAGTTTTGTTACCTGGTACATTACTGTCTATAATTTCTATTTCGTTTGTTACTTCTTTTAAATTTTGCTCTGTAATGTTGTATTTTTTTCTAAATTCCGACGGTACGCCGTTTAGAGGAATATCTGAAAAACGGGAAATCATTAACATTTTTATGGGAACGCTTTTTTGACTGAATAATTTTGTTTTTCACCCTCGCAATCTTGATGAATTTGATACTATTTTACGATCTTCTAGTCACGATTTTTAACGGCAAGCAGAGTGGCGAATATTTGTAACCATAGCAAAATTGACTTTATGTCAATTACGTAACGAGCAAATTACGAACATAAACTAGTTTTTATAATTAATAAAAATGCTTCTTGTTAAGTATCAAGTGCAAGTGCACGCTTGCTGACAAACTAAAGTAAGGCTCAATTTATATTGTTGCGAAGGAGAATGGAAGCGAATTTTTGTAACCATAGCAAAATTGTGTAACGTATAAACTGGATTCTCGCGCAGTCTTGGGAATTCCCGCAGCTGCCATATAGTATCTATTTTCTACTGACGTTACAAAATTGACATAAAATATATTATGATATGTACGGACAATGGCTCACCAGACTACACATTTTTGTTCGCAAATCGCCTCCAGTGCAACGGAACAAGATACGTCAATGTGTAGCTTGTTGTGCTGGCGTATGTACAATAATCGTCATAGCTAAGGCATTTGCGTTTTAGTAACTTTCGAGATATTACTACACTATCAACTGCCTCCATGGCCGAACGGATAACTTAATTCACCTAAATTAGTTCACCTAGGTGCATTAAGTACACTTTTAGTAAACTTAAATCACCGGGTTGCATTACTCAGAACACTCATCATACTGTAACCTATTTTTTGTACGGCCCACTGCTGAATAGAGCCTCTCTCATGCGAGGGTTTAGGCCATAGCTCGCCATGCTAGTACAAAATGCGAATTGTGGACTTGCATGGGGAAGCATGCCAAAAAAGTTTTGACGTTGGCTTTGAATTTGTGAAACAAATATATGCCTGAAGTTCGCGTGGCAGGAGATGTTGAATTTTGCGCATTAAAAGTACCAAATTCGTTTTAGCGGAATAACTCTAAAACTAAAGGGATTAAAAAAAAATCCGTGACAGTTCTCGATCATGCATAAATATAATTAATTATCTAATTTTTGTCCTAATGACCTGTAGCATTTCGAGGATGAATCGAAAAAATGTGAAAATTAGAGGTCATTTCGTGATTTTTATCTATCGAGGAAACTTTATTGTTTTATGTTTCTGATTAGTGTCTATGCTTGAATATATCGTGTAGTTACTCATACAATATTTTATTTTTAACTTTAAAGTGGATATAGTCCTCTAAAATCAAATCGAAGATTAGGAATTTTTCCTCTGCTCCCTCTTAAACAAAAAGGATCCAATGCACCATCCAGTCACTTTCGAGATATGGCAGTTTGAAGTTAAAAAGTGTTTCTCACTCTTGTTTTCTTTTCAATACTTATAATGTCATGTAACTCCTGAGATATTTATTTATGTTTATATGTTGGATTTTTTTTGCTGATCTAAGAGGTTAGACTTTAGGAACCGTTTGGTACACATAACTCATTTTTTGATAATTTTGTGGATTGGATCCTTTTTGCTTCATCATCATCATCCACAACCCGACTTCACCCACTGCTGGGTATAGGCCTCTCGTAACTTATGCCATCCACGTGCTTAACTACGTTCAATTAATACAAAGATCGAACACTTAGAAAAATTCCTTCGTTCCGGCCGGATTCGAACCGACGCGTCTTCTAACACCGTTAGACGCTATGCCAACTAAGCCACGGAACGAACCAACGGACCTCACGAATTTTTCTATGTGCTTGTTTGTCGCATCTTTTTATTCGGTTTTCAACGAGTTTTTAGCCGTAGCGCCATCTATGAGAAATCATTAAGGCGATTATCACACTGCACCGCGTTTATTAACGTTGTACTGAAGTACCTCAGTTTGTATGGAAAGCGCCGTCGAACACACTGACACGCCCCCGCGGAGGGGCGCGGCGAACCGCAGGGTATGGCACACTGCGCTCCGCACTACCGCGCAGATTTTTAAGCTTAAGGACATGTTCAGTTTTCAACAATAGATCTCGACGTCGATAAATTTATATTTGCTATTGAAAATCGACCAAATTTATCTTCATATTTTCTAAAATCTTTGTGAAATGAAATTATCCATTTATCGATCAGGTTCTTAAAAAGGGATGTATCCAATATCTTCGGTGTCTTTTTATTTGAGTAAACAAAAATGAAATAAACAGTATAACTGCAGCGTCTTGAATGAGTTCTGTATTATTAACCATTCTTGTATAAGAAGGATCTCAGCTACAAGTACAATCTCCACGCCGATCAACTACGAAGCGAGTACTTTCAGTGACGCGGGGCCGCTAGACCGCTGCCCCCGCGCAGATTAAACCGCGCGTTGACGCAGATCTGCGTCTCCGCCACCGCCGCGCGCGTGATTTCGGGGTGTGTTAATCGCCTAATTGGGTGACGAAATATTTTCATAGATTTCTCATAGATGGCGTAATATAATTTTAGAGTAATAAAAAATCAGTGGAGTAATATAATTTTTTGTATTACTTTTTATAATTTTTCTTGTTTTTTTTTTATTTTTATATGATTTATCTTACCTTTATCTCCACATTTGTAACATTCATTTGATACAGAAAAAAAAGATCTCATAGTCTGAACAGGTTTCGTATCATCGTCAGTAATATAAACATCATATTCTACACACACAATCTTTTCTTGTAACTGTCTTATTTCCAAATTCTTTTTCTTGTACCTTGTGTATTTCTCTACGATGACTTTGATTCGAGGTTCGTCTCTTACAGAAACTTCTTGTGGAGTTGGCCGTTGACGAGAAAATGATAATATAGGTGTGGAAATTGGTGTTGAATTGGAAAAGAAGCGTTTAGAAATGGGAGTCGATTGTCCTAATATTTGCGAATAGTTACATTGCCTTGGTGGTTGGGCTGGAAAAAACATTCAAATAAAGTGATTAAGTAACTTGTGCTGAGTAGCGAAGATCGATTCCTCTAATGAACTTTTTCTCTCTTGGAATGAAAAATTTTTGTTATTTATGTAAACAGCCATATTTAATTACTAATATTATGCTCCCCGAATTTTGTGAAAATTAAATAAAGAAACAAAAACCAAAATTCGAAAAAAAAAACAAAAAAAAAACAAATTTTGTGAAAAAATTATAAAGACACAAAAAAAACAGAACAGCTCCAAAAATTAAGTTGGCATAGTGTTCATTGTATGTATCGAGATTTTATTCTCCGTACTTACATGTAGGTAGGTTTTAAATTCAAATCGCCCGTTATAACTAATAAAACCTCGGTTTCAAAAATTTAAACCCATTTCAGAAACATTAAAGTACATTTTTACGCGAAAGTTTACTTTTTCATTTAGTGGTGGTAATGATTACACACTACTACAATTAATAAAAGAATAATAAACGAAATATTAACGTTTTGACGCTAAGTATTGATCCACATCTTCTGTGCTGTCGACACAATGCCAAGGAGACTCCAAAGTATCGGTATAATTTGTAATCATGTCAGGATTCGCGCACTGCGAGCTGTTCTCAACTTTCGGCGATGCGTTACAGAGCACTTGTCGCAACAGCTTTGCTGTTACCGGGTTGAAGGGGTCGAAACCGTATTGTTCTAGAAGTAGTTTTTTGTACTAAACAAACAAAAAAGAGAAATTAAGAGGTGTCATGATTAGAAAGTCGATCATATCACTTGCTGTAGCCCGTGATTGCTTCAAATATGCCTCATCTTAGATATGGAATGACCTATCTCCTCCTGTAAGAGCGGAGGCGGTGCCTTTATCGTTACGGATCACAGAACAATAAATACAGTAGAAGTGGTTAGTTACCGTCAGACGCGTGCCAACATTAGATCTCGAAAGAAAGCGAAAATGGAGGAGCTTAAGCCTACTTAAACTCAGTTCTCCATTTTCGCTTTGTATGATTGGTCTACATCATGAATTAAAAACTTTAAGAAAAAGCTAAACGAAGATGGACTTAGCGGTCGCCAGATGGTAAAACAAGAAATGAAACTGATTTATTATATTTAATAAAACACTATTTCTAACTTTACTAATCTTGACGAATTGCACTTGTCGGCGACGTGTGGTGCAATCTGGTGTCAGATAACCGTCCGCGGAATCGCCGGTACGTGACACCCTTCAGCCAGAACTCTTCCTTCATAAAGGTCGATAGATGTCCGTTCGGCTCACCACAAATGAATTAAAATTTACGTGTAAATAATTCACCTTTTCATTTCAGTGCCACCTGTTATTGTAATTAAAAGTACTACTAATTCACACTTTCAAATCTAGATAGCGCTGTTACGTACTTTCGTAACCATCGCCATTTTAATACGAGTCTCAATTCACATGTGGCGTTTCAATGTACCCAAATTATGGTGATTTCGACGAGAGTGGATATTTTGTACAGGCTAGTTCTTTTTTAGTCATTAAACCTAATATTACTATTACTATTTCGCTTGGATTGTTAAAAATAAGAGTTCTATATGTATTCAAAAAAACATAACCATCAAATTAAGGTAAGTGTGTCTATGTGTCACACTTGCCCCAAATCAGAGGTGGTAAACATTAACTATTATTTTTAGTAATTACCGATGATTAGGTTAAAATATTTAATGGTTGTAGATAAAATTTGTGTAATATTTGAGATTAGCGTTTCAAGTAAGAAGAGAACAGTCAGAAAGGCTATTGTGAATCTCGTTTTAACTGTAGTGCATGCCGTACGGTGAATGGAATACAGAGAGTTATTTGTATTTTTTTATTTAAACGGACAGGAGGGACTTTTATTAATCAGAATAGGTAAACAGAGAACAATCTCATCACCCCTTTTAAAGAGAGTAAACCAGGTCAAGAATCTTTTATTATTTTTTGTTCTAAGCAGCATAATGTGATTTTAATTTTTTTTAAAGGTTTTCCACCGCTGTCTACAGCACAGTATGACACACTTACCTCATCACTTTTTTGTCTTAAATGTTTAAAACAACCTATGTAAATAATTTATATGACAAATGATTGCTTGTTGTACCTACTTAGATGATATAATCTGTGCTTTTTACAATAAAAAATAGATTTCGTAATCATTTTGTTTGCGTGCATTTTGGAGACAGCGGCTCCAATAGTAACAGAGGCCTAATGCACTTCCATTGCTTTTTTTGTTCCGTGTTACGGACATTCAAACATAAATGCTCACAATGGCTACTTGGCAAGCAATCACGGGATGCAGGTTTCTTATAATTCATGGCTTGTGTGTTATTATAATATACTGGCTTTTAATAATTTGGAATTATAATAATATTTTGCATTTTAATTATTAGTGTATTGTTATGCCTGTATGTGTTATATATGATTAATTATATATATATTTTTGTGTTCCTGACCACAATGTTCTTCATGTAGAGTCATCGGGCCTCAGAAATCAAAATCAGACGGCCTGGGACATATGAGAAAAGTACTCTATAATAGGGATAGGGTAAGGTGTTTGACAATGAGCCACCTAAATTTTCATGAACTGTAACTCTGAATCTGTGGACCTAAATGATATACTTTTTGCATATAATTATAGGTAATTTTACTGGGTATGCTGAACTAGTACTTCATTTTTGTCCAAGTACAGTCAATAATTCTAAAAACATGTTTTTTAAAAAAATGAGAAAAGGTTCACTGTGCACACCCCATGGTACTCATTGAACCGGGGGCTGGTACACAATCAATCAAAGGGGCCACAATGGACGTGATTATTACAATCATCAGCAAACTATTGTATTTTTATAAAAATTGTGAAAAACAACGCGCAAAAAATAATTGAAGCAAAAATTTTTGCTTAAATTATTGAAAACAATTTAGGTGAAAATGACTTTTTGGGCATCCAACAGAAATATTAAACATAATTGAAAAAAAAACACGCTTTTAAAAACGTAATAATAAATATAACGAAAAAAAACAGCTTGATTCTCACAAATTCAAAATAAAAGAACTATACTTCCCTGGACGAACTCTTTCACAAGAAGCTCTATTGCTACTAAAAACTGAGTTATATGTTTTACGTGTGTGAGTCAGTGACCCGCCGGGCTCCTCTGCTTGTATAGTGCCACGCAGAGGTCTCGGGTTCGATTCCCGGGCCGGGAGAATTATTTGTAGGGCCTATATTTATATCTGTCGTGAGTTTAGGTGTAATTTGTGGCTGTCGACATGTGTCCATGGCAACCGCGATACAGGGTTTCACTAGCGCGGGGCTACGAGTTTGCGTTATTAATATATTATTTGTTATTTTTCGCTTGTTAGTGTATTGATTTTTTGTGGTTTAAAGTTGGTTGAATATTTTTAGAAGTTTGTTTATGAAATTATAGCATGCAATTTCAAATATGCATAATGCCTGGTCATGTATGGAGTTTCCAGGTTCAGGCGAGGGGCCCAAACTGCCTTTGGTCAACTGCGCGAAGTCCTGTGACTCCGGCGCGTAGCTGCAAGCCTTGTTCGTTAAAGAACGAGGTAGCACTTCTGTGTCCCTGTCCCGAAACATCTCTGTCGCGTATATCTGAAATGGTATTCTATACATTTTTATATCCACAAGCAAAAAATCTTCGGTTGTTCAATAAACATTACATCACAGGTAACAGACCTAAAAACTCAAATGGATATGAGGAAATAGCTATAAATAATTTGGTTTTATGTAATTTTTATTTCTGTTTAAATAAAAAAATTCTGAGGTGAGCAAAACATAACCCTGCACTCACTGCAATCAGCCATCAACTAGTAAGCCCCGTAAACGATCAAATATTATGTGTTTGTCAAACTTTTTGATCGTCTGTGGTCGTGTTTGATACGTTTGTCAAACAATCTACGTGTTTGGTGTGTTTGACGCAAATTGAGATTGACAGCGTGTTTGAAAAACATCTTTGAAAGTATGCTGGCATGTTTGTCAAACAAAACTTCAGAGGCCTTACCATGAACTCTTATTAAGATTCAGTTTAGGACTTAAAATAAATCGTTGTGAGACAGCGCTACATGAAGTGTATATCACCATCCCGCTTTTTTGTCGTTACAAACTTATACTGAACTGTAATAAGAGTTCATGGTAAGGACCCAGTTGTCGCCTATACGTATACCTTGCTAGATTCCGTATAGTCATTTGGTTTGGTGCGCAATATGTTATCTTTTAATTTCAGCCATTGTCTACACCAAAGTATATTTCTTTTTTCTTAATACGTGGTACTCGAGTTAATACCAGAAATGCTTTATCTATTATTCTTACTCATTTTACAAAGAGATATGACTCACTGTATTAACTATAGTACCGTACCATCGTGTTTAAACGTTACGTACGACTCTATAAGGAGATGACTAAGTGTGAACTACAGGCAAGTTTGTCAAACTTGTTTGATGGTTTATTTGATCGTTTGCGACATTGTTTGAAGAAAACGTGAAGTGTGAAGCATATGTTTGACAAATTATTTGATCGTTCACGGAGCGCTATAAAACTATTTGACGTCGTAATACCATACCTTGCAAGGCAGCATTCTAGACGGCATTTCGCTTGTATTTTGAACAACACTTCTTCCTTTCACCTCGTCGAGTTGTTTCGAATTCCTTGTCTTATTGACGTCGTTGACGTGCCTTAACCTATTCGTTGTATGTCCCATTCTAGTATTCCCCTTAGATTCAACGTTAGGCCCCCTTAAACCAGGCCCCTGAGCATTTTTATTAACCCTCCGACTATTCATTTTTTTGCTTGTGTTTAAAATTCTTGTTTTGTTATGTTACTTTTTTTTATTATTTTCAACATTTTATATTTCCTTCCAAAACGTCCTGGAAATATTTCTTCACATGGCTTTTTGACAGTGTCTGAAAAACACCCATAGACAACTATCTCTCGGCAACGGCAACCTTCGTGTTTCGGCCTTAGAGGATGGAAAAAAAAAGAATTCGGCTGTAGTTGGATTTCTCAATCATCAATTGCACTCTTAGAGGATGGAAAAAAATAAAGGAATAGTCTAAGGTTGCACTCATTCAACCATAGAGAATGAAAAAAAAAAAGGAAATCAACATAAGACTGTTGATAGGGCAATGATTTGAAGGTATATAGTTGCAACTACCTACTCTTGTGCTGGGTATATTGTTAAGAAGTAAACATTATAATAAAAATAATCTATTTTCCTTTTCATAACATAAAAAGGCTGCCATATCACACCCATCTCACTTATTTTTAAAACCATTAGTTTTGGGAAACTAAGTTTGAAGTGAATTTTATACAATATCTCAAAATCGTGGAACTAACTACCACAATGACAATTGTTTAACGCAAAATCGATGTAAGTAACCTTTATTACAATAGGCTTTTTTGTCTTTGTAGTGTCATCTTTACTTTTTCATGATTTTATTTATTCTAAGCATTAATTAATGGTATACATATCGTGTAAAGCGTATCGCCTATTTTGACTTACGTTACCCTGCCCATTACTAGCATCAAAATTTTTGCCAAATGCTAATGCTTATCTCATGTATATTCATTTATAGCAAATAGGCATTTCAAATATTGTATGATATAAATTATTAACAATTCCTGTACAAAAGAAAAGTAAAAAGCTTCAGTATATTTGGGTATATTGATAAATAATAAAATCGTGAAAAGAATTATTTCACGTAACCCGAATTGCGAGAGGTATGCGTAGTATCGCAAACGCTTTGTTATTGTAGTGCCTATTTCAATTAAGTTTAGATAAATGAAAATCGCATTATAACAGCATTGAATTAATGAGACGCGAGCATTTGGCGTGTACTATATCTTTGTAAATACATTTTACAAAATAATAATATTTTGTAGTCTTATAAAGCAGACCGAAATAATTAAGTCAAGCTTTGTTACGCGTAACTCACCTATCTTATGATAATAGTGATGTGTGTGACACGGCAGAAGGATCTATCATCCTTTTTATAATGACATGCAAATTAAAACTTATAAAAAAAATTTGCTGTAATGTAAATAGGTACCTATATATTTTTCCTATATTTAAACTAATAGGAAGCAGTTATAGACGAAGACAACATGCAAGACAACGACTGAGAACGTTAATATTTACTATTACAATTTGAATCAATCAGTCATATTATTAAATTTAAAAAAATATGAATACTTAGTTAATAGTAAGTACGTTTGTATTCCAAATGTTTGCATTGAATAATCATGACATTAATTGATACCGTGTAAACTTGGTTGCTAAGCCTGTGGTTCGATCAAAGACTTTTTTACTTTTTATAAGTACACAAATTTGTACTTTTTAACCAACTTCAAAAAAGGATGAGGTTTTAGGTTCGACTGTATATATTTTCTATGTATGTTCGTCGATTTCACCGTCACTTGTGGACCGATTTTGAAAAATATTATTTTTTTGAAAGGGTATACTCTTGAGGTAGCTCCATTGTCACCAAGTCAG